CAATATTTTTAACGGGTGTACAAGTCTTTAGTAAATCCAGACAAATTCAATATTTTTCAGCTTGGGTTACAGTGGTGAGCCTATCATTTCTATAATCTTCGTGGGTAATTGCCTCAACTGCCGTCCCATTATCAGTACCTGCATCTCGTAATTTCCGAAGATTTCTAAACCATTTTATTTCATTATATTCACCATAATCCGTAATAAATTCTTCGGTTAAAGATTCAGATGATATCCCATAATATTCTGCTATATGAAACTACTTTAAGACCCGCATTTTCTCTAAGGTTTTTTTTGATTTATTCTCTAGAATCTCAGCCATTTCGTGATTAATAATATTAGCATTTGCGATATTGGAAACCCCCTCTGCTTTAATAACTGAAGAACACGCTTTTATTGTTCCAGTTAATGATATTGTACCATTTTCGGGTTTAGGCAATGTTACTGATTCTAATATATCAATTCCCATCCCTGCTTTTCGGAGAAAATCAACCATTCTCCATCCAAACAAATGACAAGATCGGAATTTTTCCAATATATGGGCAACCCATAATCGGACTGTTGGAATGTCTCTACTTCAGATAATGAATTCTACATCTGGAAATATTTCCCTATTCTGAAGTTCTTGGGGAAGGCATTCGCGCTTAGTTTTTAATAGCCAGTTTAATAATCCTTCTTCTGTAATTGGGAGATTTGACGATCTTTGTTCAATGTGGCATGTGTATTCTTTAATACACCTCATACGGAATAGCATCTGGTTTGTCCCAGCATTTGTTTCTATATAACTTTTGAAAAGACAAAATGCCCACTCAAACTTGGGGTTAATACATGAGACTCCTATTTTTAATGTACTGGTGTATGCCACTATATCTATATCTTTTCATGCTTCCTCAACATTACTAAAGTCCCACATTTTTTCAACTGGATCAGAATCACTATGATACTCCTTGATATGTAATTCTGAAAAATCAGTTTTAAGAACACGAACAATCCCTTGTATATCCTTTCTAAGATGGCATATAACCGATACACTCTTCCACTCCTCGGGTTCCAATACAGACATTTTTCTAGCCCAATCCTAGAGTTCTGACAATAAAGTTTCTTTTGTTAGGAGCCAGATGGAACAATTTACCTTTCTGAGGTTGATAAGTATTATGGATAACTGAAAATTGTTTACCTCTTCAAAGTGATTTGATCCATTCTATATTAAGATCAGTAAGGTCATTATCCATAACAATAATACGCATTGCTTCTTGAATTAGCTTATGTAAATGTTCCCTTGACCACCCTACTAAGCGAGTGTGTGCTTGACTATTCACAGATACTACCTCATCGAGCCATAAGTCATATGGTATTGGAGGACATTTACATTTTTTCTCGCATTTACATTTGTTAATAATACGATGTAAACTTTCTATCTGGTATACTACTCTTTGATAATTCAGGAGATTTATATCTTTAGTATCAATATCACAGTAGGATTTGAGATTAAGCCTTACTGTAACTGCACTAGAATAAGTATGCCGTGTAGATAGAGCGAGCAAATTTATAGCTTCAGGGATAGTAAGGTGCTCTAAAGTATAAGTCTTTTCTGTTCCCCAAGGTGATCCTACATATACATCACCCTCCTCGGGTAAAGGTTTTACATATCGCTCCTCATATATTTCTGTTGCAGTAAGGGGTGAGTCACATTTAGTCCAAGCTGGCATTCCTAAGAAGGGTTTTGGGAACTTTGGACCCTTTATTTTATAAGAAAAGGGGGAGAAATATTATTTTTATTTTTTTGCTGGATTTTTTTTGTGATAGATGGGTCATTGAAAATTTTCCCGAGTTCATCTCTATTTTGCTGGAAGCATTTCACAATGAATGTTCCATCATAATGCGCGCAACTGAACCACCGCTGATTCTTGTCATGTGTGCGTATACCTACCACCCAAATTCAAAATCCAAATGCTGAAATCCCAAATGCCAAAATCCCAAATTCCAAATTCCAAATTATGATTAGTATTTTTTGCTGAAATCCCAAATCCCAAATCCCAAATACTATTAATTTGGAATTTGGGCAACACGTATACCAGTATGTAAATTATATCATGAAGATGAGAAAAGTGTAAAAGGTAGATATGAAGCTGGATCCTATTTTATTATATGTGGAGAGCATGAAATCAAAATAACAGCATAAATCCCACCTTTTCGCAGTAACTGCTCAAAGCCAGAAAAAATACCAGAGGCAAGCACTTCATGATCAGATAATTAACTATATTCATTTTTTTAATTGCATCTGCGGTCAAAGAATAAGTCACAGCTCATCTTAATTTGAATTTGCGATTGTATAAAGTAATAATATGGATAAAGCATTAACTCCTGAATATTTGAACTGGTATGCTAAATTGGTTGAACCACCAAATTCTTTGACTGATAAAATTTGTTTGATTTTATATAGAGCATATACAGAAGATATTGGGCTCGATCCCTGGATAAAGTCTGAAGTTTCTGAATTCTCACAAATCGAAAAAGATGCAGAGAAAAAAACTTTATTTGTACCGCAGGTAAATGTCCAATCTATACCATCTAAATGACAATTCCCAATTTCTGTTCTACCTAAAGACCCAGAAAAAAGGCAACAGCACATTATTAATATGGTATTAGAGCGATTTTCCGATTTAACTCTAAAACATAGTTTTAAAGATGATTACTTTAAATTTAATAGATCAGTACCCTGCCCTTTATGTAATAAAAACCATAAAAAAGAAAATATAAGAAATCATATAGAAGGTATATGGGGTAGTGGTGAATATTGTGGCAAAAAAGCTTATCGTCTCTATTGCTATACAAATAAATATCAGAATTCAATCCATATAGTCAGTATAAAGGCATAAGTTAACTTGACTTCGACAATGCATATATAACGATAAATCATTTCCCGCGATCACATGGGTTGCTCCGTTACATGCATAAATCACGAATTCATACTCAATTATTTTTTTTCATGTAATATATATATGATCGAGATTTTTCCGAAATAATTTTTGAATATATCTGCATCTTATATAACAATGATTAACACACAATCTAAAATCGATTTATTGAATCAGCGTATTATTATACTTGAGGCTGAAAACACAAAAGTTAAGGCAACGCTGACTAACGCACGATCTAACGCACGATCTAAAATCGATTTATTGGAACAGCGTATTATTATACTTGAGGTCGAAAACACCAAGGTTAAGGCAGAGAATGCCGAGCGTGGAGTTGAAATTGCTAAGCTTAAAGCTGAGTCCTTACAGGAGGTTAAGATGCGCGAAAGGATTGAAAAAACTATGCTAGACTTAGATGGGTGTTTATATCGCAAATCATTATCTATGAAATAGTCTCACGAAGTGAGGATGCTTTACATCTAGTATATCATTTTTCCACGAATTTAAACACGAAGTACCCTCCCCCGCAGTGAAATATGGCGACTTATCACTACAATAAATAATTAGTAAAGCCAGTTGATATATACATAGCAAAATAAGAAATAATTGCTTTATTAATAGCACCAAGGCACATATTTTTACGTTAAATATATTAGATAAATCGTGGAGTAGCGGACGTTTAAAGGGAGGAACATCTCGAGCCCTAATCCATAAAATGAAAGTTCCTTTCCCTACTCCGTATTATTAACTAAGTTATCGTCTAAGATTATAGCGGAGCTACCATGGGTATTACTACTTGAAAAATTATTTCTATTACTACTAATAATGACAGAGTTATCTTTTTTCCTGTTTTCTTTCTTGACCCAATCTGCGATTTTATCTAGCGATGTCGCTAGCGGTGATCTCTGGTGACGGTAAAAGGTTGCAAGCGTTGCGGGACTGAGATTAATTTTTATAGATAAGACATTATATAATTTCGTGGGAGAACTTTTTCCTCTTTTTCTTCTCTCATCAAATAGGACGGTAAATTTGACCCAGAGAGTTTCAGTTTCGCTAGGATATTCGGATTTATGACTTTGCACAGATGCTTGCCCTAACAATGGAAACGCCGATATTAGACCCTACCACATTAAATGAACGAATTTATAGTTGCTTCACAAACCTCTACTTCGAACTTCACTCCTCCAATCCGATTCATTTTGCATTCTCACAATTTCGTTTTTTATAGCTAACATATCTTGTTTTAAGCCTTGTATATCCGCATCCAACGTAGTCGAGATTGGAGTTGGAATTGGGATCGGAGATGGGAATACATATTTTCGTAGATAAATAAATACTACGGTGATAATTACATAGAATATTGTATTTTCTGGAATAACGGAATAAATCATCTCCATTGTTAAGACGCTCCGATTATATAGTTCGTAGATGACGATTACAGCGATGAAAATCGCAAATAAAAAAATATCAGAAATGTTGAGTTGCATTTTTCATGGTTATTTGTTTTGCAATTGATAAATTGATTAATTATTGATTTTGACGTTTGGTATGACTCAATTTTTTACTCGAGACTCCAACAATATCAACATGTTTTTATACATTAAAACTCAGCATCAACGATCCATGGCATTGGTTCTTCACATCTCGTACTAAATCGAAGCAATAAATCATAATACATGGCGATTTCGTACTATTTATGTCGATTATTGTGTATCGGATGATCGCTCACCTATAAAATCATCTGTGCGTATATCGCCGATAATTGACAATTTCCCATGTATCACTCGATAGTTTTGTTTGTTACTTAATTTAGATGTAATACGGCCCTATTTCGGAATAAATGGCACTTCGACTCTACACTCACGTTATCTCGAATACATGTCACAGGTAATAGAAACGTGCTACGTAATACGTAAAATACTCATCGCATATAAATGTAATCAGACACGGAACCACAGAAAAAAATATTATCTCTGAACCATAGATTTAACTCCACGAACGCGCGTGGTAGAGAAAGAATCGCGAAGATTCCAGACCGAATTAGAGATAAATGTTTTTTTATTATGTATTTATACATTTACTATGGCGCTTGCGTTACCCGAGTTATTAACGAAAATTTTTGATTTCTTAGCTGAAGATAAGGCATTATATCCCGCCTTGTTCGTTTCTAGACTCTGGTCTATGTGCTCCGGCCCAATTTTATGGCGTCGCATCGAATTGATAGGAAACGGGGGTGCCTTCGGCGAGAAATATGAAATACAACTGAAAAAGTTTATGGGACTGTTGAATAGAAATACAAGACCGTTTTATGCTTCAAGTGTGCGATATCTCAAAATTACACACTACTATGAACTCTCAAATAAAGTAATTGAAAAAATCATCGAAATATTCCCAAATATAACTCATCTTGATTTTAAACGGACTTGTGGATTCGATGATACGGCGTTAATCAAAATTTCTTGAGCATATCCTAATTTAATTCATCTTAATGCTTTTAACAGCGGGGGGTTGACTGATCATTCTATTATTGAACTCGCAAAGGCATGCAATAAATTACAATATTTGGAAATTAGTTGGAGTGGAGATGTCACTGATAAGTCTATCTATAAAATTGCAAGATCGTGCTACAGCTTAAGGCATCTAGGAATAGGCGGAGGTAAAAGTTGTATTACTGATAAATCTATATGTGAAATTCCACAATTCAATCCCAATATCCAATCTTTAAATTTTAATAACTGCGAGAAGCTTACCGATGCCACAATCTACACTCTTGTAGGTTCTTACCCGGATCTGAGAGAATTAGATCTTAGCAACTGTGAACAAATAACTGACATAGGCATCAGAAAAATCGCACAATGTCTTAATCTGGAACATCTTGTACTCAATTCCCTGGGATTTATTAATGATAAAACGATATGTATTATTGTGCAATCATGTCCAAATATTCGTTATCTCAACCTAGAATTTTGTTATGTCACCGATACGGTAGTAGAAGCAATAGCACAATCATGTCGCAATATGGAATATCTCAATATTTACGGGTCAGAATCTATTACTGATTCATCTATTTCTAAAATAGCCAAAAAATGTTCTTATATTCAAGAACTTGAATTGGGATATTGCGGGCTTATAACCGATATAGTCATCAAAGATATCGCACATAATTTATCCGATCTAAAATATCTTGGTTTAAAATATTGCGTAAATATTAGCAAAGAGGCATTAGATACGCTGAATCCGGATTTAGATATAGGTGGACATTATACAATCCCATCCGCTTTATAATTGGAAAAATCTGATTATCTATGTTGCGATTTATAAATGTAGTTAAAATATCTTACTACAAAACGAAATTATGCCAGAAGCGACGGGTGATGCATTTCCACGTATACATAAAGTTCAGTATAATCAAACACTCATACTATACTTCCCTTACTCTTGTTCTCAACTACTATGAAGTTATTCCTCGGATCATATGTGTGTTCATATTTGTTCGGATTAAGCAGATTCATATACTGGGATGGACTGTCAGTAAATTTACCCATCGTTTTACGCATATTGTTTTGAGGATTACCCATACTACCATATACTTACTAATTTCCTCGATTCAAATTTGGGTTGTATCGTGGAGTATGTGCATCGTTTTTTTCAGATTCCAGGTTGCCCTTTTAATTTCTCTACTGAGATCGTCATTTAATCTTCTGGATGGTGGATGTGCAGGAGGTATGTTGCGAAATATTCGTTGTTTATTATTGCAAAGCAATGACTCTTCGAGTCTATCTTCGATATTTAAGAGAATTTTGTTAATTATATTCATAACCTCCTCTTGAGCTAGACCAGGTTTAGATTCTGTTGATTTAGATAAGTTATTTTTTGTGGAGCTGGCTTTATGACTCGGAGAGTCGCCTGTGGGTCTGCTATCTTCTTCGATTAATGGGATACTCATACCATCTATTTCAATATTAGTATCAGGATTAAAACTCATCTTTACTTCATGTGCCCACAACCATTCTTGCCCCAATACCAGATCAAATGTTGGATTCTTGCGAATCTCGAAGTCTATTAGATCGGTACCATCCAAACTTCGCCATTTTCCTTTATGGTAGAATTGTAAATCTAAGCAATCTATTCCACCTATTGCGTCTTTATAAAGGTTTTTAACCGGATCACAAGTTGGAGCTATTACATGATCTGTTCCAAGCCTATCGAACAAGCTCCTGCTGACGATATTAAACTTCGACAACGTATCTATTAATGCTTTGACTGGGATTTTTCCTTCGACAAGTGTATTGATGAAAAGCATGTCAAAAATTATTTAACGATGTATAATATAAGCAGAAAAATATTTATTATAATAGTACATAAATCCATCGAATATGAAAATTCATTTATGCTATGGTTATTGTTTATCATGTAATTTACCCGAAAAAATCATTGACTGTCCTTGTTTTGATGAGGATGGTGAGGTCGGACTGTATATTCCCGAGATAGTGGTGCATTGTTTAGAATGCGGTTACTTTTTTGACTATTGCAATACTAATGAGCTTATACATAATACTAATTGTTCCGAAAAACCTAAATATAGCAGGAGGTACGCGTCACAGATAATTCAAAGGTGTTTTAGACCATGGATGAAAACCAGAATAAGTTCCGCCAAAACTATCCAGCAGGTTGTAACACCGTGGCTTTATAGACCGGATGGACCTATTGTAAGAAATGCTTTGAAACGATATTATGGTTTAGCTATGTCACAAATCAAGAACTAATCAAACGATATTGAGATCAGTGAATAGGTATCAGCAGAGCTGGCATGAAGTGCCAAAAGCAAAGAAGCGTGATTAGTTATCATCATAGAGATGGAATGGCCTCGCTTGCTCTGGAGTCTGCCTCTTTTTGTGATAATTCACTACAACGTAATTTTGCACAGGAGAAGTGTGGTTATCGGGATTGTAGCGTAAACATTCCCCAGCAATGGTATAGGCATTGGCCAGATTCTCAGCTTTATGTACTACAGCACCATAAACTGTTCCTAATTTACGTAAATATTTAGGGATTAAATCATAATCTTTTAAGAATCTATTGAACCATTTAACTCCTGGCTTACCCGGGTCACCCATTCGACCAAAAGATATTGCACGCTGAATCCAGGTAAGTAATTCTCTGGCCCTTTCTCGATCCTTCTCCATAGATCTAAATTTTCTAGGAATATCTGGTTGTCCCCTGTTCTTCGCATAACCCGTTACTCCAGCATCTGTGATACGCAGAGTTATAAGTTCAGCAGGGCGGATACAAAGCATTATCATGACATCAGCGAGAGCTTGTAAATCGGGCGAAGTTTTTAAATCATATGCATCTAATCTTTCTTTGACCGATTCTAATGTAAATTCATCTGGGTAATCAATGGTTTTAGCCTTTTTCCGATTGTCACTCTGGATTTTGTTGGCATCTTCTGTAATATCTGAAAATTTCGTAGCCTCGATTATCTCAAGTGAAGCGTTAAGACTTCTTAATTCTCTTCGAAGTCGGGAGAGACGTGACGAACCTGCATTGGCATCTGATGCTGATAGGGCTAAAGCATAAGCTTCAGCTCTTACATCCCTAACACTAAGCTTTTCCTGCAAAAATCGTTGTGCCATCTCTCCAATAGTTTCCTCCTTCAATCTTTTAGAGGGTTTGTTGGAAATTGCAATATTTACGTCTCTACCCCCGTCTTTCTGGGTAGAGAATAGATCGTCCACTTGGGTCCCACTAATGCCATATCTATTCTGTAAGATTTGTTTAGTTATTTCTCTGATAATCTCTTCTTCCAAACTTTTCGGGGGCGAGGTTATAGCTATTTTACAATTACCTTTAACAATAGCGGAGCTAGTGCCAAGGTACATATTTATGGTTTTTCTTTTTCCGCCTCTTTGATTAGGTATCAATACACCTACCTGCTCACTGCTAAATTTAAAACCATCCCGAAGTCGTCGTCGAGCTTGATTCCGTTTTCTATCATCTGTGAGGTTTTCAAGAAATTCTGAGGTATGCTGACTAAGCTCGACTACACTCATCTTGGAAGTAAGGTTATATTTTTCGACGATTTTAGTTGCGATAACTGACATGATTGAATGTTATAATATCCCGAGTAGGCTATGATCAATTCTTTAGGTTGTATACACTATGAAATATATTTTTTCAAATCGAAATTAATTATCTCGGATCAGTATAGCTATACCCAAAAATTGAATGGGTCGTGGTTAATGTAATTCTACCAGAAAATGGATGCGAACAAGACACGAGATAGATCGGTCCGTCGATTTGAAATCTTATTAACATAGAACATAACGAAAAAAAATTATAGCTTTGGGGGTAGGAGCCCAGGTTATAATCAGGCCCTTAGGGGCGACTTTACAAGTCATGATGTATAATATTTTATTTTTATTTCTTAGTACCTTGTGCTTGCTCCGCTAATATAATTTTCGAATGGTGATGGGGGGATCAAGAGTCCTTCTTCTTCCCAATGCACATATCCATCACGTATCAATTTATTATATGTTGGTCCATCGATTGCAATCATGCGATTCGTTTTGGGGTTATAGATTTTTGGCTTTCTTAAATGCTTAGCCAATTTGAATAGCTCACCTGAGGTTATTGTTTCTTTATTGTATTCCGGCTCTTGGATATACATTTTATACATTTTTGTGTAGTACTGGTGTGGTATATATTGTGGTATTAGTATGTAAAGATATTCTATCTCATTATATATTCGAAATGTTTAAATTGATATTTATATTTGAATCTTATACATATTATATATATTACATCCTAAAATACTTTCATGGATCGTTCTATTTGCCTCCATGTTAAAAGGGATGGTTCTGTTTGCGGAAATAATTGCTGGCGCCCTACGGGTTGTTACAGACATTGGTGTTTACATGAGAAAAATATAGAGAAAATACCTTGCGGTATCTGTAGAAAGCCTACTATATCAATTACGGGGTACTGCCCAAAACACTCTGGTCGATTTCATTCATTAAAATATCGAATGGGGCAAAAAAGACTTATTACTCAAGATCACGCCAAGAAACAAGCAGTATTGACTATTCAGCGGGTATTTCGTTCGTGGTATCGAAGACGAATAGATTCAGCTAAAATAATACAGCGCTCGGTAATTAAATGGCTCTATCGGTCCAATGGGCAGTTTATGAAGCAAGCCAGAGACCGATATTATCAAAATGCGAATAAGCTTAATTAAAAAATACTAATCTCGCCCAGTGTATCGAATAATGTTTGCGTAATATTTTTTATCTGGAAAATTTATATTGACTAGATTGTAGAGAGCAAAAAAAAATCCCCCTATATCGAAACTCCTACTTACAAAACTCACCTATTCGCTCCTTAATATATATATAGTAATATTACCATAGATACCCATTTTCTTGGAGTATACTAATTATACCTGCCACCCAAATTCAAAATCCAAATGCCGAAATCCCAAATGCCGAAATCCCAAATCCCAAATCCCAA